GCCGGATGTCACTGTTCCGGACAATGTCGAGACGTCATCCAGATCTGTATCTAATAACACACCTTGATATTTTTTTTCTTAAACCAGCCATTACGAGTGTTGATGGTATGTTCGCGAAATGTATTAAATTTCAATTATTCGCTTAGTCTTTGCGTATCAAAGTCGAAGTCCTCATACAGCTTTTAGATACTAAGTTCCGAAGGGCTAGAATTTGTTCACTGTGCGGTTTAAACCACGTCTGGTCTTCTTCAGTAACGTCGCCGTTTTCAGCAACAGTAGGATCGTCGCTTGATCAGTACAAAACTAGTTTCCGTTTAAAATTCAGCTTAGACTGTTCATTAATCCTGTTGAATGTGGTGTGCCCTTTGACCGCCTGTCACATGACTTAACCAAAGTAATCTTACGCAGATGCTAGTCTTGCAGCGGCCGTTGCTTTCCATCTCACTTTTCCTTGAAAACCTGACCTGCTGCTGCGCATCGTCTGAACAACAAGTGAATTAAATGCTACGCAGTTTCGACTTTGTTGCTGTTTGCATTATTTTGCACAGATTAAGTTTAATCATAATTTCAATTTTTTAGTAATAATCAGCCAAATTGCCGAATGGTTCTGCTGAAAGGTTATGGACCTGACGGTTATAGGTTTTTTACGAACTACAGCAGTCAGAAAGCGACCGAAATGGTATATATGCATTGCATTCAAATTTTTTTTAAAATCATTCATTCTTCATAAGCAATGTCGTGGTTTCAATAGGAGATGCATCCAAAGGCCTGTCTGTTGTTCTACTGGCCTTCTCTGCACAGACAAGTCAGAATACAAGGAACGGTTACGAAGCTTCCGGCGGAAGCTGCAGATCAGTACTGGAAAACAAGACCAGTAGAAAGTCAGGCGAGTGCCGCCATCAGCGATCAAAGCCACGTAGTACCCAGTCGTAAGGTAGCGCTTGTGGGAAATAAATTTTCGACCAACACTGGTCGATCAAGCGCTGCACTTATATTCAATTGTTTCAGTTCCTCGAGCAGAAAGCGTCCGAAATACAGCAGTTACACCAGGCGAAGGGAGAATTGATTCCGCGCCCGCAAAACTGGTATAAACAATGATCGATCGACAGATGATAAGCACTATAACGGTAGTTTCAGGGGTGGTTACATCTTGAAGCCGACAAATTACGAGTTCTGGCAAGGACAGAGCGACAGGTTACATGACCGGTTCCAGTTCAGAAAGGATGCTTGCCAACAGTCATCTGTAGACACAAACAACTCAGAACAAACCTGGATAGGTGAACGCCTAGCACCATGAGACAAAGCTTTGACGGTTCAGAGCTGAAGTTCGACTTTCAATCGTAATTAAAATCTAAACATGCAAGTGAATTTAAGACATTCGTAACAGTTTGTTTAATTTACCCGTCGTCTTCCTCCGCAGCTATAAAATAATCTTCTAGATGAGCTTGTTTGGCCGCTGGAGGTTCTTCTGAAAGTTCATCGTCGAGCGTAACTTTTCGTGCGTTTTTCTGTAAAAAGTTTAGTATTTTTACTTATTGATTGCGTACATTGAAATTTTTTTCATCTTATGGAACTGTGAAATGGTTACCTGTTAGATGGGTCGAGAAAACAGTATCGCAACTATTTAAACGACGTTTATCGATCAGCGTGACCACAAATTGACATTTCTGAATACTTCCAGCATGGCCAGATTACGTCAGGGTATCATACAATTACAATTTCAAAGTCACAAACTTATTTATTGGTCAATGGCAGAACGAAGCGGAAAAATACCATGGAAGAACGAGGTTTGTCCTGCGTATGCCGAACATAGAAGATACTCTCCACTGAATTAACGTCATAAGTCTCATGTTTACTTTAAACCTGCAGATGTTATGCATAAACAGCGCTGCAGTGTCAAGATGGATGCTAACAATGAAGTTGTAGCCGAAATTTAAGTGAATTATCAGGAATTTAATGCTCTTACACCCTGTTCGCCTCACCTCAAACGTGAACCATCATATTAACTTATATATGATGGCACTGAATACCTTCACGTAATGTATGAATATTTAAATAACCAAAATCTTAATAACCAAATAAAATTAATTTCGATGACTGATGATTCGGTGCAATAATCAGATGGTGTTTCTCGACACTTTTAATTAAACAGAACGCCAGTGATAACAGTATATACAAAA